AAAAGTTGTGAGACTTGGCATTGTCTTTGTGCAAAGAAGTCTATTACAGGGAATCAGCAACAATGGAATATCAGTCCTGTGATGAAGCTATGCAAGGTTCATTTGTGATTGGTCAGAGATCGCCTACTCAGGAAGTCTGCTAAGCTGTTGTTGACCCTCAGGAGACGAAAGGTCATCAGGGTTGCCCCATTCTGATGGGTCCAAGTCCAGAATGTAATGATCTCCAGGCAGAAGGGTGAGAAGTGGGCAACCCCCACCCCCATTTGTTCAGGCAGAGTATAGCTGTCATATTGTCTGTGAAGATTTGGACTACTCAGTTCTGGAGGACAAGTAGGAACATCATACAGGACAGTCGGATGTCTCTGAGCTCCAGGATGTTCATGTGTAACCCCATGTCATCCAGGGAACAACTTCCTTGAATTTGCAGGTGGTCCAAATCAGCTCCCCAACTTGTCCCTGAGGTATCCACGATCAGTGACCCTTTCCATGCACTTGTAGGATCCGACCACACCAGTTCTGCAATGACTTTATGTGGCACTGAAACCTTCCTATTTGATGTCTCACTGGAAAATAGACCACCCTGAGCCAGAGCTGAAAGGGTCACAGGTGAAGTCTGATGGAATATTTCCTAGAGTATCATCATTTCCATGATGGGTACTCTGGCTGATTGGTTACTGGTATGTTCACATTTCCCAACAATAAAGAGCTTTTCATTATCCTCTCAAAACCAGAAATGATTGAACTCAGTGACTTGTATTTCAGGTATGTTACTTCAAGCTAGCCCCATTACAAGCCTTCTACAGTTCATACTATTTTTTACAGAGAAAAGAAAAATCTCTGGCTTTCCTCCCAGCCAGTTGCAGGAGCATACGTAATGTGACTTCTCTCTTTAGGACTTTATAGATATAGTAAAAGGTATAGATAAGTAAGCATGATTGGTTACTGGCATAGAAGACAGTGGAGGTCATGTGCTTGGACAGTGCGATTTGAGAGAGCTAAGACAGGGGATGGATGTAGTCCTAGCTTTTTCTTAACCCAATAAGATCGTCTTGTCATTAAGGTAGTATTCCCACTCTGAAGGATTGTCGTTAAATGCTTTTGATGTGATTGACTCAGATAGAACTGGCCCTTCAATGGGACCTCAAGTGGCCAGCCACATGAACTCTGCCAACCCAGGAACTCAATCTTAGGGCTTGGCTACACTTGGGACTTCACAGCGCTGCCATGGCAGCGCTGTGAAGCGCGAGTGTAGTTGCGGCGCCAGCGCTGCGAGAGAGCTCTCGCAGCGCTGTATGTACTCCACCTCTCCGAGGGGAATAGCTTGCAGCGCTGCGAGCGAGCGTGCAGCGCTGCAGGCACTGATTACACTGGCGCTTTACAGCGCTGTACTCGCTGCGCTCTAGGGGGTGTTTTTTCACACCCCTGAGCGCAGCAAGTTGCAGCGCTGTACAGCGCCAGTGTAGCCAAAGCCCAGGTAAAGCTAGCTTATAACCATTCAAGCTGTTAGTAGTAAAGATGGTCACACACATCTCTGGCTATTCATTCTTCAGGACTCAGAACAGAAATGTGGTTTGGTGCTTTAAAAAAAAGACATCTGAATTTAATGCTCATAAGAAATGAGACAATATCATCTAGTGACAGACAGGATGAGTATGATGTTTCAGACAGCATGACAGTTTTAGGCTCTTCCTAGATGAGGCTACAGCCAATAGTGGTAAGTTTTATTGTGAACAAACTTTCATTAGAGAGCCCCCTGAAATTATCAAAAATGATTTTTCATCATGATGTCATCTGAACTGCTTCTAGCAGTGGAAACTTGTGTATTAAGCTTATTTCCCCTCCCCTGCCCCCCATACTAATAATTCCAAAAAGGTGAAGTTGGAGGTCAATAGTGAGAATAGAAAGAGGTACTAGTAAGAAACTTGAGACCCCAGGAATGTCAAAGGGAGGATTAATTTTCATTGTCTTCCTTTATGAGTCCCGTTCCTTTTACAGTTAAGAGCCTTAATGGGGGGGGTTAGGTTTGCCATTCACAGAAAGCAGCCACCCCTACTCTCCCAAAGACACTGAGCACTGACTTCATTGGACAAGGCTTATGCATGCAGAGCAGGGGTGGGCAAACTACGGCCCGCGGGCTGGATCCAGCCCATGGGATTTGCCCCCTGTGGTGCCGCGGGCCCCGCGCTGCTCTCAGAAGTAGCTAGCAGCACTTCCCTGTGGCCCCCAGGCAGGGGGGCAGAGGGCTCCATGCGTTGCCCTTGCCTGCAGACACCACCGCCCACAGCTTCCATTGGCCAGGAATGGGGAACTGCGGACAATAGGAGCTTCAGGGGAGGTACCTGGAGGCGTGGCAAGGGTAGTGCATGCAGAGCCCTCCGCCCTCCCTCCCACAGCGCTTCCTGAAGCAGCGTGGCGTGGGGCCAGGGCAGGCATACAAGGAGCCTGCCCTGGCCCCAGTATGCACCGCTGCCACCCCAGAGCCGCTTTAGGTAAGCAGCACTGGGCCGGAGCCCGAACACCACCCCCTAACTCCCTGCCCTAAGCCCCCTGCCTGCACCTTGCATCCATCCTGCACCCTGACTCCCTGCTGAACCCCACCTACACCCCACCCTAAGCCCCCTGCCTGCACCTCACACCCATCCTGCACCCGACTCCCTGCCCTGAGCCCCCTTGTACACCCCAATTCCCTCCCCTGCCCCAATCCTTTGCCCTGAGCCCCTTCCTGCACCCCCTTCCACACCCCGCACTCCCTCCCGCACCCCAATCCCCTTCCCTGCATACAATTTCCCCACCCAGATGTGGCCCTCGGCCCAAAAAGTTTGCCCAACCGGATACCGAGCCTTTGGAAGCAAGGGGGCAGACTTTCAAAGGCACAAATAACCGTTAAGTAATTAATTGTCAGTTGTGCCTGTGAAAAATCACCCCAAAGGTCCCTTACCTGAAGGCCTTACACTCCAGTGTACAAAGACTTGGATATAATGAAAAGCAAGGCACCCAAGCTGAGAAATCTAGGTGTTTTGTTAGAAAAATCTGAACAGATTGTGGCACTAACATTGATTAATTAGCACTTCATTAGTGGCTGGTATGGACTTGGTTTGATAAACTAAACTTCTTTGCAAAGGTCTCTGGGCTTGTCTTCACTGAAGCGCTAGAGTGGTGCAGCGGTCTCCCTTTGTGTTTCAGTTTGGAAGAAGGGGCTATTTCTCCATCTACACATCCAAGAGTGTCTGAGCAGGCACCTCACCTACTGCTATATATCTTCAGACCGCTACTATTGCTGTTGGCTCTCTTCAGGAAGCTTCTGCTGCCCTCTTGACAGACAGCAATTCAGCAGAGGATGGATTTCCAGGTGAAAAGTGGACAGTGACCTCCTGAGTCTTATTTTTAAATGGTGACCAAGACAGATAGTGACTACGATACCATTTTTCTACAGTGAGAGGGTCAGAGTCCAAAATAAACCCATCTGATCAAATCTGTAGTTTTTTTTTTTTTTTAAAAACATGTTTGGTTCGTTCCCTCATGAAGATTTCCCTCTGGACACAAGTCTTCTGGCAAAGACTACACTGATTTGGTCAAGTAGTTCAAGTGTACGTGAAATGCTTTGAACAAGCCTACACTTTGGTTAGCCTAGTCTTGTTCATGGTCTTTTTTAGCTGTAAAAGCCTGGGCTCAAAAGATGATTCATGAAAGGATAAATTCCTTCTAGTAATATCTTCAGGTTACTTTTTCAGTTCTTTGCTATAGCTTTGTGGACCTCCAAATACAGAGGAAATACCTTCTCAGCTGTAACAACTGCTCTTCTCGCCTACGCTCCTGAAGTCAGTGTTATCTCAGCACTGTTTGAAAAGAAAAACTGTTTGAACTGGCGTGGCTCATTCCAAGAGCCCAGCAATAAATATAAGGTGTGGTATTAAATATTCTTGCTGTTTAGTTTCCCTTATCAGACTGTTTTTGCTACCCAACTGTAATCTGGCTAGGATTGCCTGTAAGCAGCTGTTGGCTACAGTTACTCACTCCTTCATGTGGAAGGGGCTAGCACTCCTGTGCAGGGGCAGAGAGAGTATGATTGAGGAAGTGATCGTATTATACAGAGGCAGATGCCCCAATCTCCCCAGTGAACAGTTCTAGAATGTATCCACACTCCTTTTTCATATTAGACACCTTTTGCTGTTTGGACTGTACTCCAAGTCAGATTCAAGATGCACATGTCATTGCTTCAGGCCCTCTGAAAGATTCCATGCTTGGCAGAGCAGCAGGCGAGGTCATCAGGGAAGAGTTTCATATTGATTGTTTTTTGGGAAATGGGGAGGGAAAGGGAAATAAAGATACCTGTTTTTCCTCTCTTTAGGAAAGTGGCACTATCTGTATTGCCATATCACTTCAAAGTCCTAGTCAGGATCGGGACCTCTACTTTGTACAACACCTAGCAAATGCAAAGATGTGATTCCTGCCCTGAAGAGCTTACAATTAGCATTTTATGTTAAAAAATAAAACTCAGCAGGTTAAAATTGATGTCCCTAAAAACACTTAATGCCATGTATGTCCTCTATGGGAGAAAAGAGGCCCTGATTTACTGAAATTCAAGCATTAGTGTGTAAGCATAAGTCACACACAACAGACTTGGGTCAGCCAGTGGTCAAGAAAGCACACAACTGATTGCTTAAATTACATCCCATTCCGGGGTACAGGGAAACCAAGCAAAAGCTTCCCATGCCTCATTGCATTAATCTACATTGCTAGGTAGTGCAGAGAGGCCAATTGACAATACTTTTATCTTTAGAATTCTAGTAAACTTCACATGTTGTGAATATAACATCCCATCTAGGAACTCTGCAGCTGGCCTTGGAAACCAGCACTGTTGCTGGATGGATTCAGGGTGGGTTATACAGTTAATAGCAAGCTGGCTCTATCCAAAGTGTATTTTCGCTACTCTGCTCTTGGGAAATTTCATTTTTTAGTTTTCCTCTCCAATATCACCACAGAGGCAACAAGGATCAAGCTCAGTTCAAACCCATTTCTCCTTTATTAGTTCCAACTTCACATTACATACATTGGGACTCAATAAAGAAAGAAGTTATTTCAAATAAGGTAATATTTTAACATCTGTGTTTCCAGGCGACTGTGTACAATCAGGGAGCATTAATAAAATGCATGTGCAGCCCATCTGGAAGAGAACAGATAAGGGATTAGTTTAAAAAAATTACTTTAAGCAGGCCAATACTTCCACACCATTTTAGGTGGTCTCAGATCATATGGTGTTCTTCCCATCACTCAATCAACACATTGCCAGGTTTAACAAACAGTCTAATTCTTTAGGCCCAGAAAAGCAGTACCAGCACCAGTGACCCAGCATTACCACTCCACCCGAGGGGGGCGGGGGGAAATGTTAGAAACTCAGTTTTTACCCCTTTAAACAGGCCAATTTGTTGAAGTTTTTAAAATGGGTGAAAATGCAAAGTTTGAGATGCTTTAAGGTTACATATATCTAATCTTAAAAACTCAGCCATCTTCTGTATAACCCATTATTTTCTGAGAGTGAAGCCCATTTCTAATAAATTGATATGCATCAGTTGCATCATCACTGAAAGTCGTGTTATGCTTCACTCTGGTCTACATAATAATCAACATTTAAATTCAGTGGCTGGAGCTTATTTGCTATTGTGATAGATACCCATTGGCCAACTGACAGCCTTTTGGTACCAAGCGGTCAGCCAGTGATTCAGCAACATAAGCATTAGCTAATGTTAGACAATGGTAAACTTATTACTTTAAAACAGGATGTAGATTCCCATTCAAGTTATATTTGAATTTGAGGACAGATACCAGCTTTCAAGCTTAACCCTAAAAACAGATCCATCACCTTTGAAGCACTGAAAATACCTCCCCCAAGCACCATTAAAGAACGTTAGACTAGAACAGAGATTAACTTTTAGCTAAAACAGCTCCTTGAAACTGCGCTTGAAACTACTGAAGACAACAGGAGTTTTGCCTACAGAGCATTTAAGCCCTAGCTACACTATGAAACTGACCTGTCCACTGTGTTGTAAGCAAAGGGTCCCCCAAGCCAGTGCTGTGCTTTTTGACCAGCTGAAGGGGACAGTGCTATTTTCAGCACTGGGTGGAGCCGGATCACACTTTGTGAAAGGTGCAGAAGATTTATCCCTTCTACATCAGCAGCTTCAATACTACGGACAGTTGTTGCCAGCAATGAGACCACTTCCCAACATAGGGAAGCACTAGTGTCCTGTTCTATCTTCTGTTTAAAAGGGTTAGACAGACTGAGATGTTAAAGTAAAGATTAGCATAATTTCATCTGGGATGATCCTTCCATAGGGAGGGAAAGAGCTTCTTGCAAAGACTGCTGGGAAGCAAAAGTCTTATATACTTCTGAGCAAGTATGGTAACAGCTTATTGTCAAGGCAACAGACTCAAAGCTGCAACACTGAAAAGAAATGAGGATTCTTTAAAGACCAGTAATTGTGTCAATCAAGCAAACATCTAGAACACTGAATATTGCCTCTTCCCCTCACCGCCCACCCTCCAAGCAGCAGAAACACATTGTTAGATTTTAGTAGTACTACAGCTAGGTGATCAAAATTATCAACACATGAAAATGTTTCTCTCCACATATCTTCTGTCTTCTTGCTGTATTTGGACAAATGCATTTGATAGGCCCTCTTTCACTTTTATTAAAGGCACCATCTAAAGTTTTCCATTTAGGAATGGAGTCTAGGATCCTTGGATTTAAAAAGACATCTGTCTCAATGTTAACCTCCTTTCATTTTTAGGATGCATTAGAGACTCTAGGGGAAATATTTCAGTAATTGAATGTTACAATGATTTCTGTTACAAAAGCCTCTCTCCACTTATTAAACCATGCTCAGATTAGTCTACCACACCAGTCTCTCACCCACAGCCCCTTTGATTTCTTTTCACAGAACACATTACAATTAGGAATTGGACTTTAAACACCCTCATTCTGTATATATAACTAAAAAGAGAACTCTGAACTTTTCACTGAGCATAACCTTACTGTAAACACTACTGAATTGTTTTCCATTGCCAGGTAGTGCAAGTCCCAAAAGTCTTACCCATGAAACATGCATTCCACCACCCTTCTCTTTAGGGGTTCCTTATATCCAAGGAAGACTGCTATATACCCTTAAAAGGAGTTTTAGGCTGTGTAGTCCCATCTCAGGGTTTTAGGAAGATACGGTCCCCCTTACCAATTATGTTTATGCTTTGTCCAGGCCCAGTTCCTCTGGAGTGGAGATTCCCAATTCATTCAAAGTTGGTCTAAGTTCCTGGATAACATAAGGGTAGATTTCCTTGTGAGGGCCTGCCTTGTCCTAATCAGAAGAGGAAAAAATTAATTCAATAGCAAAGAGATGGCAAAGAAAAATCAATATTGCACTGTATGCCAGACTATGTCTGCCTGTGTCTGAGAATCATGTACTCACAACAGGATCTACAGCTTGATCCACTTATTGCTAGTGATAAAATAGTTTATCCCCAATAAGCTGGAAAGGTAACATTGTAGCACTGCTTAAGAACAAAAAATCAGATGAACCTTCCATAGAATATCTACACTGAAGTCTGCTAATCACAGCCTGTACTTATTTGGCTGGAGTCAAGTACAAAGAGGTAGCAGCTAAATTCATTCATTTACTGCAGTGTTTTTCAAGTGTTCATAATGTGTACTTCTTCCAACCTAACGACAATTATGTGGACTACCCACCCCCATTCACTATCATGCAGGCCACCTCACTGCCTATTAACAAACCACAGCAGTTGCTTGCATGGAAAATAAATGGGTGGTGTGAGATTTTGTGCTGCACAGAACTCCCACTAACTCCAATGGAAGCAGAGTTAGGACAAAGCTGAGTGTTTCAGAAACCCCCCTCCCAGACTATCTGTAATGAAACATACAAACTGAAAACAAGGAAAAACAGCACTAGGTGAACAGCTGGCTCTCCACACATCTCTAGATGCTCTGCAGACCAGTTTGAGGGCTGCCTGTTGATTGCTTTGGCAAAAAAGAGCAAGAGATACACAAATATCTAAACAAGTCCAAAGAAAGGGTCAGTTTATAAAACATAAAATGTTAGTTTCATGTCTCTTTCAGGGGTTAAGGAGAAGTCACCCCCCACAAAAGCCTTTCAAACAGGGTTTTAGGGGAGAAGAGAAGGTTGGGGGGGGGTGTTATAAACCAATCTGATCCCTTACATTTCCCCCAAAGGAAATATTTTCAAGAATCATCTCAGTGGCCAGTCATTCTGGCATAGAAGGAAGAGGAGGAGAGCAAAACAAAGACAGGGTGCAGAGAAAAGAGAGACGATAAGTTTAGCATGTGGTCATCTTTGTTAAATTCCCTGAAAAAATGCTACAGTTGTACAGAGCTGTTTGACTTTCACAGCCATGCTATTTATATTCATATGTATGTTTTAGATGATTTGGTGATAGGCGAGGTCTCAGTTTGGTCTCCCTTAACAGATATGTCCAGTATAGACACTTCTGAAAGTCAGGCCCATTAGCACACGATTCTCCTACAAGTTTGCCTGGTGAAGAAAAGGGGACGACATGTTCCTTTTCTCATATTCTACAGTGTGGGCAGCAGAGGCTCACCTCTTTATTCTGTTCTCCTCTAAACAGGAGGATCAATCGAGGGGAAGGAAGAAGTACAGCTGTATCCAGTGCATTTAGACCTGTGATCTTACACAGGAGGGATTTTCTATTGGTACTTAAACAACAACAAATTAAAACTGATTTTGGCCATGCAATCTTAGTCAAACTACTAGTTTCAGTACCATCAGGAAACTGGGGGTTTCCCCTGCTTAGGTGGGTGAAAATACAACATGAGAAGCTAGGAGACTCATCTCCATTTTAAAACCCTTTCAGCAGCATGAAAGCACAAGCAGCAGCATTTCCAACATACCCCAAGTCACCACTATACGGACCTTTACAACTTCTAGGATGCGGACCGCAGTAGCGAAGTCATTTAACCGTCTGCATGCTCTCAAAGCAGCATCGATGATTTTTGGTTCTGGCACCAGATCGTAGCCCACCAACGTGTTCATGCCTGTCAGAAGAAGATAAGAATGACAGCCTGAGGAAACCCCCATTATTTAATAGGTAAAAGGAGGGTTAGAACCTGTTGCGAGAGAGTTTTTCAAAGTTCAGCCTAGGGGTCTCCCTCGTCGTCCACTTTCCTTCCATCTCCATGATATTTTTAACATGATTATCATGGTGATAAACAAGCACCATCAAAATCAATTTCAATCTTATCTCTCCCACATTCCAGAACTATTTCCCCCATCTGTTCCTTTCACTCTTTTCTTGCCATTGCAGTATGATGCTAGTCATGTGATCTCATTATTTACAAAAGCTTTAACAAAAAAAGATCGGGCAGCCCCTGGGCCAGCAGCAGCAGTTTGGGTGTGTGGGAGGGGGGCTCAGGGCTAGGGGCAGGGAGTTGGGGAGGGTGTTGGGGAGAGTGGGGGTGCTTACCTTGGGGTAGTGGGCTCCCCGGCTCCTACCAGCATGGCCTCCCTGCAGCTCCTAGGCAGTGGAGGAGCGGGAAGTCTCCGCACCACGCACTGCCCACAGGCGCCATTCCCGCAGCTCCCATTGGCTGCGGTTCCCAGCCAATGGGAGCTGCAGCAGCCAGTGCTTGTTGCAGGAACAGCGGAGCCCCTGCCCTGACCCCTGCCTCCACTGCCTAGGAGCTGCAGGGACGCAGAGACAGTAGAAAGGCCCTGCCAGCCACAACCTCCCCTCCCCCCCAAGCACCCGCACACACCCCGACCGTGTTTTGCCCCCTCCCCCCCCCAGAGCACCCACGGCCGCCCGCCCGCCCAAGTTTTAGTCAGGGCAGGTATTTTTAGTAAAAGTTATGGACAGGTGATGGGCCCATGACTTTTTGTTCACAGCCCTGCGACTTTTACTAAACATATCCGTGACTAAAACGTAGCCTTAGCTATAAGAAGTGAACTCCAGGTCTACTACATCAGTGTTTTTCAAAGTTTGGGTCGTGACCCAGTGTTAGGTTGCGGCACGTAAGGCACTGGGTCCCCTTGCTCAGCACCCAGGGACCCTAGCGGCTCTGGTGAACACTGCCGAGTGGGATGTTAAAAGTCCCGTCGGCGGGGCTGCCCAGCTAAGGCGGGCTAGTGCCTACCTGTTCCAACGCTGCGCTGCGCCCCAGAAGCGGCCAGCAGCGGGTCCGGCTTCTAGGCAGCAGAGCCACAGAGCTCCACTCGCTGCCCCCGCCTCGTGCACCGGCTCTGCACTCCCATTGGTCGGGATCTGGGAGGCGATGCCTGCGGGTGAGAGCTGCGCGGAGTTGCTTGCGTGCCTCTGCCTAGGAGCCAGACCTGCTGCTGGCCACTTCTGGGGCGCAGCGTGATCCGCGGTGCCAGGACAGGCAGGAAGCCTGTCTCTTGCACCCCAGCTGCGCTGCTGATCGGGAGCCACCAGAAGTAAGTCCGTGCCCCAACCCCTTCCTGCACCCCACTCCCCTCATCCCCGGCGCCATCCCAGAGCCTGCACCCCCAGCCCAGATCCCTGACCCCCTCCCACACCCCAACCCCAGAGCCCCCCCACACCCTGAACCCCTCATTCCCAGCCCCACCCCACAGCCCTCACCCCAACCCTCTGTCCCAGCCCTGAGCCCCTCCCACACCCCAAACCCCTCATCCCCAGCTCCATTGGGTCGTGGGCATCAACAATTTTTTTCAATTGGGTCCCCAGAAAAAAAGTTTGAAAGCCACTGTACTACATCACTGACCATCTTAACAGTGCTGATAAAAAGCAATCACAATGAAGCAGCAAGTCACACGGATTGAACTTGGACTACACAAGTAACCCCACTCCCTAATCTCAGGTGTCTACCTTCTAGAAAAGGCAAGACCCCATCACCCTATGCCCTTGGTTAGCACTGAGTAAGTTAAGAAGACTACACTGGAGGTTCCTGGGTTCTTTTAACTCCTTCACAAATGTCTAATATTACAGAGTAAGTGTAGTAGTTTATGTCATTCAAGGTAGTTTAGAAAACATACACAGACCGTACAGTTCAATATTATGGAAGTGAATTTTAGGAGAATTTCTGAGCTCTCTGCCTATAGCACAGTATATCTGCCCTGCTATAGCATAAGCTTTTACTTTCTGACATAGCTGTAACGTTCAGTAGTCATAATATTTCAAACAGTTTAGGTTTCCCCATATTACCATAGCCATGAGTATTTCAATATCAGACATTCCTTCCTTCCCTTTTAACACACCTTTCCTTAGCTCCCAGGCATCAATATCTGGTTTGTTGAAGTATGTCACCCAGCGAGCATCAAATTCTTCATCTGACTCTTGTGTCCCATGAGAGTAGCAACGAGCAGGCAACACAGCTGTGTGAGGAAGGAATAGGAAAGAGTTGAAGTGAAAACAGAAGAAATTTAGTTCAAAAACTTAGGCCAAGAGACTGCAGCTATGACCTCGTCATGTCTACACAGCAACTAGATACCCACAGCTAGCCCACGCAAGCTGACTTGAGCTCGCAGGGCTGTGTCAATGCTGTGTAGACTTCTGGGCTTGGGCTTTAAGACTCTGCGGGGTGGGAGGATCTCAGAGTTCGGGCTCCAGTCTACACAACAACGGAATAGCCCCGCAGCCTGAGTCAACTGGCATGGGTCAGCCGTGGGTTTTTCTTTGCTGTGTAGACATAACTTTAGTCAGGATGCAGCAAGTACATAATAGATCTGAGTCACTAATTCAGTACATTTAAAGTCCCAGTGATGTGCTCTGTGGTAAGATGGTCCAAGTAAAGGCCTTTCAAGCAAGTGTTTGCTCTCCCTTTGAAAGAGCAAATCTACAAAATGTTTACAAACTGGATTCAAAAATGTAGTTACGAGCTCTCAAAAAAGCACTAGTTTATGCTTAATAAAAGAGATCACCTTGAAATTGTTAGAATCTGTTGAACAATTAATTTTTAAAAAGGCTTCCAGGTCCCCAAATAGAAAAAGAAAAAAACACTGCAGTACTTTTGCTCTGCAGCAAAGGAGTAAACCAGCCAAAAATGGAAGTCAGCGTTAAGGAAGCTCTATTTACAGTATCTAGTTGGCAACACTGTCATCATTTATGACTTCACAAGGATATTTGCCAGCTAACACTGTCAATTTTTGCTCCAAATGAAATGGTGGGAAAGCAGAAAGTGAACTCCACTGTTCCTGCCTCCTAAGGGCTTGTCTACATGTGGAAATTGACCAGACTAGCTATTCCACAATAGCTCCTTATGTAGACACTTACTTCAGAATAAGAGCATTCACCCAGGGAGTTGTTGCAGAATAGCTATTGTGTTTCAAGTTTACACCCTACTTTATTGTGGAATGATTTCCCCATGTAAGCCCTACAATTGCTAAATAGTTGGTTTTGTAATCTAAGGGAGGAAATGTTTTCTAGTTTCTAAATCCTATTTCTAACAGTAAGAAACACTGAGAGGGTAGGACAATTGGATGACTCAGAGGGAGAAGTAGCAGGATACACACAAGTCTGGGTAACCAGGTTCAATAGTGGATGAAAGCTAACTTTCAATTAATAGCTGTTCAGTGGCCTGTGTAAAGTGACTTGGTGGCATTTGTATAGTGCCTTTGTGTACAAATGTCCAGTTCCCAAAAAACACCTATGCTGTCTCCAGGGGCATCCTGGAGGCAGAACTACTCTTACCCCAAGAATAGAATAGTGAAGTCTTGTGGGGGAAATCTACATTATCACTACTACAGCTATTCAATGAGTCAGCACAGAACTTCAATCTTCGGGGTTGTCATCCAGCACTAAGTTTCCATTGAAACTTGAGTATCTGACAGTTTCTTAAAAACATTCATTTAAATTTAATAAAAGTGGGCTGGTTTCTAAGATGAATTCAATTAACATGGTTGTAATCTAGTTTCCTCCCCTAATACTGTTCTTTATCACAAGGGGTTTTCTGAACACTAAACAAGGGATGAACAAGTAGCCTTTGCCAACAGCAACTAACAGCTATGGGACTAGCTGCTGCGCAAACAGGCAGTTAGATCCGTACTCTCAAGAGTAAGTGCTTCCCCAGCTGCTCCACCCACAGAAGATAAAGATGACTAGGACCCATCAATTTCACTCTATGATTGGTACTGTTGAAAGAGTAATTGCACTCAGGAGCATGGCACTAATTGCCAACCTAGCCTACCCTAAAGACAAGAGTCTAGTAGAAAAGGGAAAGAAGTTAAGACTCGTTCCTTTCTAACTTAGATGCAACACATTATTTTGTTCATATTGACCAAAGTTTTATTAAGATCTCTGGGGCGGAGGCATGTCTTATTCTATGTTTTGTAAAGTGGTATCTGCATCTACAGCACTATATAAATGTTTAATGTGTGTTAAAGACTTCTGTGCTATACTTTGGTTTGTTCATGCTAACCATTTTTTCCTAGCTTGAAGTGACACTAGGAAATTTACCATTAAGCATGAAGCAAATATAATTTTCCTAACACCACAATGTGGACTTAAGACAATGGATCCTAATTACAAAAAAAAATTGCAAAATACAAAGGAATGTTCTCCTAAACATCATTCTCTCCAATACATAGTCAGACTAAAGTTATGTTTAACAGAATGACCTGAGTGCAACAGATTCTTGCCAGACATTGATTCAGTACATCATTTGAACAAAGCTTTCACAATGTATTCCATGTTTCCCAAAACGTAACAGATTATTGCATCATTCAAAATGTAGATTATGAATTACTGATTTAGAAATCAAAGAGTTCTCTTAAAAAGATGCATATCTCTCCACAGTATTACAATGCCTTCCTAATAGAATGGACAATGAACACCCTCAGGTATACCACTCAATTGTAGCTAATTGGAAGTCAATTGAAACTCATTAAATTTGTCTAGAATGACTGACAACCCTTCATCTTCCAGGTATACAAGTATTCCAGGGATCTGGGAGAAAAGAAGAGTATTCTGAACTACTTCGTAATAATCAGACCTTCACTTGACATATTCTTGATTTTTAATGCTTTAAATGTAGTACACCTCTATAGTTGTAGCCCACGAAAGCTTATGCTCTAATAAATTTGTTAGTCTCTAAGGTGCCACAAGTACTCCTGTTCTTTTTGCGGATACAGACTAACACGGCTGCTACTCTGAAACCTCTATAATGATGGCTACTTAAGTTAAAAGGATGCTGTCAACTTAATCATATTTCAAACAATGTTCCTTGTGTGTGGGCGTACTAAATTTAAGATTAAAAGCGTAAATTTTAAAAAACCAATTTCCTTTTCCTCTCCCCCCTTCTCTCCCCCAAAATCTCAAGTTGGAAAATGGAAGTATTGGGGAGAGTTTTCTCAGGCATCAACCCAAGACTGTGGAATGAGCTCTCAGAGGAACTAAGGACCATCACAAGAGCGGCCATACTGGGTCAGACTAAAGGTCCATTTAGCCCAGTATCTTCCAACAGTGGACAATGCCAGGTGCCCCAGGGGGAATGAACAGAACATGAAATCATCAAGTGATCTATGCCCTGTCATCCATTCCCAGCTTCTGGCAAACAGAGGCTAGGGACACCATCACAATCTTCACCACCGTCCACTATAAGCAAAAGGCACATTTCTTTGACTTTGCTTTTTCTGACATATATAGCAACATATGTATTATAAAAAATTCCAACATATGATAGTCTACTACACACACTTCTCCAAGGGAAAATATGACAGTACAAATACAACAAACAGCCATATAGCTTAATGCATTACTAGAAGTTGCTCAAGCATTACGGTGATGAGTGTGGTATTACATCCTATATAGAAGTCAGTTAAGTCATTTTCACTTTCAGATTCTTACTGCCTGTGTTCTGAGTTGCAATTACTGAAGATTAAACTAAGTTTTTAAAGAAGTGTCATGAAAATATGTCCATTGGTTTTAGTTTTTATAACTGCATGTTTACAAAATTATATGTTATGGGCCAACTAAGTTAATAACATCCTTTTAGAAAGAGATACTTGTGCACTTGAATATTAAGAGCCAGGAGCTAGAACTCAAAGCTTCCAGGATATATTCCTAACTCTACTGCTGACTTGCTTCGTGACCTTGGGCAAGTTACAGCTTCTAAACACCTTGTCTACTCATAGGTAAAAGTGGATAATACTTACCACCTGCCTTTTATAGGAGATATTCCAAAATTGACATATTTATAAAATATTTAGATCCAGCTGGAATGTGATATAAATACTAAAATAATACTGTGATGAAGAGCTGTCAACATACCCACATTTAGAAGGGGGGATGGCCTCAAATGTACTGTTACCCCTCACTATCCAACATACTCATCTCTATTTGGTGGTCAAACCAGACTTGCACTCAGCTGATCTCCAGAGGAAGATGGGGACACAACAAAAGCAAAAGTAAAACATTGGCAGAAGAAAGACAAGGTCAGAAGAGTGCTGGGGGAGGGGGGAGAGGAAGTGGAGGTGTGTATATATAAAAAAGGACCATTTAAAGAGATTAATTTAAAAAGATAAGTTTGAGTGAAGACATGCCCAGCAACAGAAAACAGGACATTGTACACCACACTCAAGTGTGCTAGGCATTTCACACAAAAAAAGAGAGACAGGTCTCTGTGCCAGGGAACTTACAATCTAGTGATGCACTTGACAAAGTTATACAGGAATGAAGCACACACCAGAAAGTGGGAGGAGGGAAATACAAGTTTACAGATACTCTTATACCATTACTCAGTTTAGACAAATGCATCTTGGAGGCATAATTTTTTTTTAAAGCATGAAACATTTTTGTGGAGGTGATGCTGCAAAAGTGGGTCTTGGGAGTGATTTGAATGAGATAAGGATGGAGACTTGGAAACATGAAAGGACATTCCAAGCACATAGGGTAGCAGAGAGGGCAGCACACAGACTTTTGTGAAAGGCTGTAAGAAGGTTAGCATTGATGGAATACAAAAGACGAGGAACCAGAAGAGGTATACGAGAAGGGAGACAAGGGGCTTGTTTGTATTTAAGATACTACAGTGGCACAGCTGCGTCTCAGCAGCACTTGCATAGACGCTACCTATCCCAATGGGAGGGATTCTCCTGTCTGCATAGGTAATCCACCTCCTCAAGAGGCAGCAGCTAGATAGATGGAAGAATTCTGCCATTGACCTAGTGCTTTCTACATAGGGACTTAGGTTGTTTTAACTACACTACTTGGAGGGGAGGGGATTTTTCACACCCCTGACCTACATAGTTATGCCAACCTAATTTTCTAGTGTAGACCAGGCCTAGGTCAGAGATTTAAACATAGGCACTTGAAAGCAATCAGAGAAAGCTTAACCTTGATGAGCAATTCAACAGAGTGAACATCAAGATACAGAATTGAAGACCAGGAAGAAAAGGAGGAAGATACAGCAACAAATTTTACATAAGCATTCTTTTCAAACTTATGATTTAATGGTAGCCTGGCTGCTTGAACACTTCAGAATATAAACAGGGATGCAGCAATATCAACTTCCTCAGTCCACCTTCATTTTCTTTTTGAAAAAGCAAAGATACAATCTATCCCAGGAATGACTCCTGATTTAAGTTTACTGTAGACACAGATTTGAGTTTGCAAGTGGTACATTTTTTAAACCAATAGCCTTAGAGGCCTAGTAATAATTTCAGACAAGAGCACGATATGCTCTTTCTACAGCAGTGGCTCTCAACCTTTCCAGATTACTGTACCCCTTTCAGGAGTCTGATTTGTCCTGTGTACCCCCAAGTTTCATCTCACTTAAAAAACAATTTACTTACAAAGTCAGACATAGAAATACAAAAATGCCACAGCAAGCTATTACTGAAAAATTGCTTACTTTTTCATTTTTTACCATATTATAAATCAACTGAAATATAAATATTATACTTACATTTCAGTATATAGTACAGAGGTCAGCAACCTTTCAGAAGTGGTGTGCCGAGTCTTCATTTATTCACTCTGATTTAAGGTTTCGCGTGCCAGTAATACATTTTAACGTTTTTAGGTCTCTTTCTATAAGTCTATAATATATAACTAAACTACTGTTGTATGTAAAGTAAATAAGGTTTTTAAAATGTTTAAGAAGCTTCATTTAAAATTAAATTAAAATGCAGAGCCCCCCGGACCGGTGGCCAGGACCCGGGCAGTGTGAGTGCCACTGAAAATCAGCTCGCGTGCCGCCTTTGGCACATGTGCCATAGGTTGCCTACCCCTGGTATAGTATATAGATCCATATAAACAAGTCATTGTATAAAATTTTCGTTTGTACTGACTTTGCCTAGTTTACAACAGGCTACGAAAAATGCACTAGCAAATATCTAGATGAGTTGATGTACCCCCTGCAAGACCTCTGTGAACCCCTGGTTGAGAACTACTGCTATACAGACATTCTGTCACTGTCCTACTAATCTGAGGATTAGTAAACCTTAACACTTGTACTCAAGATTTGTTTTCCCTTTGGTTGCAAGGCATGTGAGATTAACCAGAACATACATTTTTCATAACGCTGGGTGAACAAGGAGAGCCTACTCGCTGGTTTACACAAATCAAGATTTGCATGCCACAGACAGGTTAGCTTTGTTATAGAAAGGCCCATATCGTGGCTGCAAGTGGTGCCAACTATCTTCAAATCAGAGTCACTGCAGAAATGCTAGACAGCGAGTGGAGAGACACAAGCATGAAAGAGGAAGCGAAACGGGCAACTGAGACAGAGGTACCCGCATTGCGAAATAGGCCAGCTGGGCTGGCCCCAGCTAACCTAGCCCCCTTTGCTGCCCTTCCCTAAGGAGAGACTTGCTCCCCATCAGGGAGGTGGGGGCCAGAATCAGGGTCGACACTACCTCCTCTCCCTTGCAGGGAGGCTAGCACAGGTGCCCGTGCAGACTTCACCTCTCTCTCCCCTTCAGCCAGCTCAATGTCACCTTCCCGTGGCGGCCACGGATGCAGCCATCCCCAGCGCTCCTTGGCGGGCGCGGCTCCCGCTTCGGCACACGGGGGACCCCGGCGCAGGCACCGGAGGCTCGACCTGAAGGCGATAACCTTGACGGGGCAAGGCGGTGTCCTAGCCCGGGCCCCCCGCATGCCACGGGGCGGCGCGAGGGCTTCGGCCGAGCCGCGGGGGGGACGAGGCTACCACAGCCGCGGCGGAGGAAGGGGGGACGGGGTGCGGGGGGCGCACACTAGGCCGCAGGTGCAGCCAGTCCTCGAGTGACACCGCAGGTCACCGCAAGGACACGGCGCTGCCGGGCCGGCGCAGCCCCCCGGGGCCCCGCCGCTGGGCGCTCCCGGAACTGGGCGCCCCCGCAGCCCCGCCCGGGACCGCGGAGCCGAGGGGGGCCGGGGCAGGGGAGGGGGCGCCAGCGCGGCCGGGGCCAGCGCCGAGAAGCGGGAACAAGGCGCCGCTCGCTCGCTCGCTCATTCACTCACCTGCGGCGGCGGGCGGCTGTCGGGCCCGCCGGGCCAGGCCACGGAGGCCGGCGGCGGTGCAGCGACGAAGGAGCAGGGCAGCTCCCAACATAGCGGCGCGGGCTGGGGAGCGGGACGGGACAACCGGGGCGCGAGGCTTCCTCTAGCCGGCCGCGCTCAGAGGCCACCACCACGCGCCTGGACCGAGGGCAAGGGGAGGGGCAGCGGGTACGGCGTCGCCGGGGGGACAAACCGCCCCCGCCACGTGACAGCGGGGAGCCGCAAGGGGGCGGGGCCTTGCGGAGGGGAGGAGGGGCGCGGGCGGCCATTTTGAAGGGAGGCCGGCGGGGAGCGATGGCTGCTGATAGCAGAGGGACGGGGGGGGGGGGTGAGTAGGACAGGCTGCCCCCCTCCCCTTGACCCCCAATCCTGCCTCAGAATGGGGCAGATCGGAACAGGAGGGGGACTTGAAGTTGCTCCCCCAGGCCAGGTGGGGGTCGCTGCTCCCCTAAGCCAAGAAAAGGGGGGAACTGGGCTTCTCCCTTGGACTGCGTCCACCCCAGGAAGGGCCTGTTCCTGCCACGTGGGGGTTCGCAGGTGGTAACTAAGGCCACAAAGGTATTTAGGTTCCTAACTCCCATTGAGTTCAGTGGGAGGTAGGTGTGATGGTTTGAACCCCCCTTCTGGGATGCACATGATGTACTGGGATTTAATGGAACCTGCCTGCTCCGCTAGCCTGGGCTCCCTCTCTTGCTGCATTAGGCTCTCTGGCCTTTGGCAACACACATGCACAGGTCGGGTCACACCAGCTGTAGAATCACACAGAGTCTGCAAACAGCTCTCTATGAGAAGACTCAGCTAGGAAATTGCCCAACGCTCAAGTGCAGCTCTTCTCTGGAGAGTACACCCAAGATAATATCATCTTGTACTGTTTTGAAAGCTCTGCACAGTGCAAGCTCATAAAAATTCACCCTCTCCCTAAATGTGGAAAGAGATACGCACAACTTTTCCCTCCCCCCCCCCCCCAGTTATAAATTGCACAAACTGGGTTTAATAATAAAAACAAGTTTATTAACTATAAAAGGTAGATTTTAAATGATTATAAGGGATAGCAAACAGAACAAAGCAGATTACCAAGCAAATAAAACAAAACGCACATACTAAGCTTAAGATCTTAAAGAGACTGGTTTCAAGAAATTGGCAAGTTGTAAAGTTTCTGTAGCTTAGAGTTCTAGGTATTTCTCTTTACAGACTAGACTCCTGTGTTGTCTACACTCCCACTTTACAGCACTGCAACTTTCTCACTGTGAAAAACACCCCCCTGAGCACTGCAAGTTTCAGCGCTGTAAAGTGGCAGTGTAGACGCTGCATCAGCACTAGGAGCTGGGAGCTACTCCCCTCGTAGGGGTTGTTTTTTACAGCGTGCTGGTGCCATGACTACTCAGCCATAGCGCTTTAACATTGCTAGTGAAGACATACCCTTAGTCTGGACTCAGCCCTTGCTTCTCCCACAGTTCAGTCCTGTTTGCCTTCCTCCCCAGCCTTAAATAAGATGTACATAAGGTGGGGATCTTTTGTTCCCCAGTCTTGACCTCCCCTTCCTTTTAGTGGAAAATTACTAGAAGTCCACGATAGTGTTTAGTACCAGGTGACAGGACCACCTGACATAGTAGTGTCACAGCTAAGTCCAGGACACCTCTCAGAAAGGAAAGAGATTTATTGTTTCTTCCTAATGGCCCATCAAAGCTGATGACCTGTTGTCTGGTGGGTGTCTCCCAAATACACACACAGTTGTAATTGTTACATAGTCAATATTCCTAACTTTAGATACAGAAATGATACATGCATACAGATTTGATAATCACATTCAGTAAATTATAACCTTTCCAATGATATCTGACATGAGCCATCTTGCATAAAATATATCTTAATTATGCCAAGGCCTCCACCTCAAACCACTGATAATTGAAGTCTCTGATTCTGTAAAGATTTATGCATATGTGTGACTTTAAGATTGTGAGATCTTGGTGGCACTGCTCATGTGCTTTGTGTATGTGTAAGTCTTTGCAGGATCGGGGCCTAAACAGACACCCTGCAGAAAGCAAAATGGGAACAGAAACAATGAGATTGAACAGGGAGGTAATGCGCACATCTTGCTAATTTCATGATTTTTGTATGGGTTTTTTGGTAATATCAAACTATTCAGGTTTGCATACTGCACTCATCATCCTGGTGTCTGATTCCCTTGCAGAGGTGATGTACTACATACTTGCTGGAGTAATAAAGAGGATTTGGTTCCCACATGTTTGTATGAATAGTATTAATTTTGAAACTGTTTCTTCTGAAAATAGATTGGGTGAAAATAGGGTTAAAATGGAAGTAGAATTGTAACCTCAAATACAGCAAAAGTGCTAACATACACTAGGAGACAGGATGGCCGATGGAATTGCTAAACGGAGATGGAGCTTTTCACCTCTAGGTCACCATTTTGAAGCCACCTTGCATGTTGTGACAGAAAACGGTTACCACTTGGTTTATATCTTTCAGGGAAACCACTTGACAGCTTTACTTCATTTCCTAGCAGGCAGGTGTCCAAGCCACAAGAACAAAATTGTTATGAACAATAATTGGCCTCTGTCAGCAGTCTGCAGAGCTCCAGGGTTCAGCAGTGATTGAAAATGAGCTATCCTCACCCCCAGTATGGCCCTTCTAGGTCAGAGTTAAAGCATGTTGGTGGGGAAAGGTTGCACTGCCACTGTTCTTTAGATAGAGGATTTCAATTTCCAAAGCTATCAGTTTCAGCCCAGATTCTCATAACCTATGGAAAAAGAAAGAAACCACCCATCTGATATTGACCACTATGGGAGACAGGATATTGGAGTAGGTGGGATCACTGATCTGATTCAGAATAGCTATTCTTACCTTTGCAAGGATAGAGTTGGGCTTTTTAAAAAACAGATCTTTGGATGGTGTGAGTATAAGGCTCAGAGTAGCTCCATTAAACTCAACAGAACTACAATACAACCTCAGAGTTACAAACAGCAGTTACAAAGTAACCAGTCAACCACACACCTCATTTGGAACCGAAAGTACACAATCAGACAGCAGCAGAGACAAAAAGAAGCTAATACAGCACAGCACTGTGTTAAATGTAAACTACTAAAAAAAAGGGGGAAAGTTTAAAAAAAAAGATTTGACATGGTAAAGAAACTACTTCTGTGCTTGTTTCATTTAAATTAAGATGGTTAAAAGCAGCTGTCAAGGTTTCTTCCCCACTCTGAACTCTAGGGTACAGATGTGGGGACCTGCATGAGAACCTCTAAGCTTAACTACCAGCTTAGATCTGGTTTTGCTGCCACCACCCAAATTATTTATGAGTTATTTGGGAAACTCTGTCTACCTCCCCCCCCAGAATATCTCCCTCCCAAGTACTATAACCCTTCCCTGGGTAGCCTTCAGAGACTTCTCCACCAATTTCATATGATCCAACGGAGAAGGTCACTTGGTCCCTTTCTCGTAGTGGGAGAACGATGTCACTCTGGCTCACGTCTCCTGGCACTGTCGGTGGCTGGTGATGTGCTCGATGTAGATGTCCCTGGATCATCGGATGGTGTCTGAGACCATGAGGCGCCGCATGAGCCGTGCGTAGCATCGACCAATCCCGCAGGTCCGCAGCACACGCTCGTTGCAGGGGTCCCAGGCGCCCAGGGCTCCAACAATCAGGGCGTCCATCTGCACCTCGTAGCCCTTCGCTCTCAGAGTGTCAGCCAGGGGGGCGTACTTTTCCAGCTTATGAGCTCGGGCTTCGCGAAATGCCAGGGTCCTGTTCTCAAAGGAGACCATGCCATCGACGAGGATGATCTTTTTCTGGGCCTCGTTGATGACGACCACTTCAGGTCGTAGCTGGCTGTTGGTACCGGGGATGGTGCAGTTCATGGAGATCTCCCCCAGGCGTGGCGCGATGTCTTTCACCAGGCGGTTCTGGATGGCATTGTGGCGCAGCTGCCAGGCTCTGGAGTGGGGTTTGCAGCTGCACAGGACGTGGGGCAGGGTCTCATTGGAGTAGCTGCACTTCCTGCAACACTTGTCTCAGTTCCCGTGGCGGATGGCTCCATTGAGCGGGACGCAGTTGAGCCGGGCACGGTGGATGAACCGCCAGTCGGCGAAACGGGTGAAGCCGCCCCCGGCGAGGAAGTGGTTGCTGGCGTCCCACTTGCTGGTCAACTCAAAGGCTTTACCCTGGTCCGGTTTACGCTTCAGGGTTTCCACGTACAGCGAGTGGATGGCGACCTTCAGAGTCCTCTTCAGCAAGTCCCTGGCGCTCGGGGTGATGATGGTGTTGTCGTCGGACCTGATCTGCGGCACCCGGACTCCCAGCTCCTGGCGCTCCTCGCACCACTCCCAGCGGCAGTCGATGCGCTTCCCTAGGCGACGCGTGGCGTTGCGAGTGCAGGACCACAGTGAAGCGATGTCGCGCCCGTCCCATCCAAATTCCCCATCCAGGGAGCCGCTCAGGAAGGTGGCGATGTCTTGATTGGAGGGGGCTCTGCCTATCCGCTTCTCTGTCGCATCATACAGGGCGTTCGCCGCGATGTTCCTTACCGTGGCATAGGGACATGTCAGCAGGTGGAAGGCGTGAGTGATCACTGCGACGTCGCACAGGTCACCCATGCGGGGGATGTTGGCACCGCCATGCCTGTGGGCGATGTAGACCAGCTCGTTGCTGGCTCTCTGGGGAAGGAACAGCCACTTCTTCACCAGCTTCCAGATGATCTTGTCTGCCTTGTGTAGGGGCACCTTCGCCAGGGCAGATCCCCTTAGGGTGAACGAGATGCGTGGGATCAGGAAGGTGTTCAGGGCGTTTATCTTCTGCCACGGTGCCAGCAGGGAGGCATCAATCTTGGCGGCGACATGCAAGAGATCCTGGATGGTGTCCTCGGGTGTCTGCCAGACACAGAAACCTGTTGGCGTGCCCAGGTGCTGGTATGCCTGCCCCTCTGCCAGGGGGATAACGGGCTCACCCTGGATCTGGAACCCCGTTGCCTGCACCGAGTCCCTTTTGCCTCCATCAATGTAGGCTGAGTTGCGCACTTCTTCGCATTGAAGCGGAGCCCCATCCAGTCAGTAGCTCGGCTGGTGGCGTCTAGCATACCTTGGAGGCCCTCTGGGTCGTCTGCGGTAGGACCAGATCGTCCGCGTAGGCCAGAATGCTGATTTTCTTGCCATG